AAAACCAATGAAACACAACCCTTACTTACCATTAAACAGAAAACACAACCCATACTTACCATTAAACAGAAAATACAACCCATACTTACCATTAAACAGAAAACACAACCCTTACTTACCATTAAACAGAAAACACAACCCATACTTACCATTAAACAGACCTGGTGATCCTGGTACCGCCATATTCCCAAGATTTCCCGGTCCTCCATAGCCTCCAGACATGGTCGCCGCCCCATAAGACGATCCGTTTGTGCTGTGGGGGGTGGATGCGTTGGATCCGTATCCTCTGGGGGATACGCTACTGCTTTGAGCTCGTCCATACTCTGCAAAAGAAAGATGGGGAGATAAAATCCATATACGAAGTTTTATTGCCATTACGGCATAAGCACTACCAGTCGTTTAAACATTCTAAATGTTCGTGTGTTCATAATGACATTACGTTGTTCATGTCTTCAAATATAGTACAAATTTCGAAAGAAAAGGATAATCCTTCCAAACCTTCTCGTATTATCAGCTCTTAATGGGATATTCTTGTAACAGATACACAGCAGCGGCAGCAAGTCGATAGCTTTGATCAATTAGACATCGTAAGCTCTTGGAAGACAAGGAATTAACTACTCATGACCACAGTGCCTGCAGAAATGAAGGTTTTGTTTACGAACAAAACAAAATAAACACTTGAGACTTATGTCAAATGTATGTCAGAAAGACAGTGTTTTGAATATGTGTAACTGTTTTAATGTCTAAAACTAAAACAATGAAACTTCACGCGTCAGAAAAACACATCAACATCAAACACATAATTTTCAGTGCGCAAACATGTTATTAAAGTTTTTTTCTTCAAAGTTCTCGTTTACTTCAAACAAATGAAAAAAAAAATGATATCAATATCTTGATATTTTTAAGTAAAAAAAAATCTAACAAAAACTTTAACAGTATCTGTATCATGTGCTTTTATGTTTTCTTTAGTGTAGTAAAACCGAGGGCTTACAACGCTAACGATCAGGCTTCAATATCTGTGGTAGGCATAGTACAGATAAAAGTTGTGTAACAAAATAGCCTAAGTGTGTATAGCAGATTCTGTTGTAGTTTTACCAAAATATGTATTCATAAAAGGGAAAAGGCCACAGTGGCACAGCGGTAAGTCTGTAGACTTATAACGTTAAACTGAGTTTCGATACCCTTGGTGGGCACAGCAGCTTTTCGTTCAATAACAAACAGAGAAAACAATAAAAGGAAAGCGAAGGAAAAGTACACTCGTAACCTAAGTATTTGTTTATTGTATCTCTAGAGTGACAGTTTTGAAACCTGGTGGACTATGTATATCACTAGGTAATATTCCTTCCTTTTAACATTACCGATTTGACGAATGGAACAAAAAATAAACATTTTCGAATACCAATACCTTAGTTCAAAACATTTCTCTCACATTAACTTAAATAAGGATAGATAACAGACAATGAATTTGAACGATATAGTTTGTAAGCCTAAACTCCATCAAAAAAGTTCTGTCCGAATTTTCGAACATCCACAAGATGAAGTAAATAAACGTAACACGCTTTAGTAAATTAGAGTATCAGCTTGAAACAACACAGTGATTTTGTTAACGGTTTCACTAGTACCATGTGATGTAATTGTTAAAAGGTTTCACTAGTACTATCTGATGTATTTATTAAAAGGTTTCACTAGTACCATCTGATGTATTTGTTAAAAGGTTTCACTAGTACCATCTGATGTAATTGTTAAAAGGTTTCACTAATACCATCTGATGTATTTGTTAAAAGGTTTCACTAATACCATCTGATGTATTTGTTAAAAGGTTTCACTAGTACCATGTGATGTAATTGTTAAAAGGTTTCACTAGTACCATCTGATGTATTTATTAAAAGGTTTCACTAGTACCATCTGATGTATTTGTTTAAAGGTTTCACTAGTATCATCTGATGTATTTGTTAAAAGGTTTCACTAGTACCATCTGATGCATGTGTTAAAAGGTTTCACTAGTACCATCTGATGTATTTGTTAAAAGGTTTCACTAGTACCATCTGATGTATTTGTTAAAAGGTTTCACTAGTACCATCTGATACATGTGTTAAAAGGTTTCACTAGTACCATCTGATACATGTGTTAAAAGGTTTCACTAGTACCATCTGATGCATGTGTTAAAAGGTTTCACTAGTACCATCTGATACATGTGTTAAAAGGTTTCACTAGTACCATCTGATACATTTGTGCAGGTTTGATTTCCTCTTACCTGTCCCGTTTTCTTGACCGTTTACGGCTAACTGACCGGTGTAGGCATTGAAACCAGACATCGCTGTGGCGTTGTTTAGAGCTGGGGATCTTGGCGCCGGAAGTGTTAACTGGTTGTTCCTCGGCATACTATAGAGCGCTTCCGCTAGGTCCGCTGCTCGTTTCAAGATGATTTCCTGGTGGGATTAAGAGTGTTATCTAGCGATTAAACACGATAATAGAATTATGTTTCTCTTTTAATTTTTTGAAATTTTAAGTTTATGTTTTGAATTACGGTCAGCTGTACCAAAAACAGCTATAACAACACACCACATTTCTTTCAAAGCTAATCTCAAAAGAACGAAAGACTCCAATAAAAATAAACTCATAAAAATATTTTCACTAGATCAAAATATACTTTAATAGTTTCGTTTTTAGTTACTTACTGATTATAATTATTATGTTAATTACAAGTTACTGCTTTTACAGTAAAGAAGATTTGTTTTAAAACAGGTACGACGTTTCGATCATTGGCTCTTGAGAACGATCCCAATCAGTGATCGAAACGTCATACCTATTTTAAAACACTCTTCCTTAATGTAACTTGTAATAAAATATACTTTGTTTGGAATTTCTACTACGAATAAAATAACAAACATCAAAGTAACTTTACAAGTAATCATATATATAATTTATAATGGAATGAGTATCCTACAATTGGTTTTATTTTATTTGTTACAAACGCATCTAACTAATACCCCATGCAGTAGGAATTAGCTTCATAAGGAACGTGAAATCCAACCATTAAACACATTCAGTACACATTAGAAAGCCAGCTGAGTCCTGGAGTTTTGAACTATAACAGTAGTGATAAGCAGTAGCTAATGAATCTCCCTTAAAGAAACCTTCCTTGCGAACATAGGAGAAAAGACTAGATATTTGATGAACTCTGGCCAGTTTCAAATTATCAGTCGCACTATAATAGTAGAGTTGACTTCAATGACAAACATGATATGATGAGAGTGACGACAGTAATGGCGGGATCCTATAATAGCAGAGTTGACTTCAGAAACAAACATGATGTG